GTGAGGGTAGCGCGCGTTCTGTCTGTGTGTGTGTCTGTCTGTGTGTGTGTCTGTGTGTGTCTGTGTGTCTGTGTGTGTCTGTGTGTCTGCGTGTGTGTGTGTCTGTCTGTGTGTTTGTGTGTGTGTGTGTGTGTCTGTGTGTGTCTGCGTGTGTCTGTGTGTGTGTGTGTCTGCGTGTGTCTGTGTGTGTCTGTGTGTCTGTCTGTGTGTGTCTGCGTGTGTCTGTCTGTGTGTCTGTGTGTGGCCTGAGGCTCGCTCGCAATAAGCACGGCGGGCGGGCGAGTGAGTGAGTGGTGGTGGCGGAGGCGTGCGCGCGAGATCGCTGGATGTGAACTCGCCTTTGACTTGGACTCGAAGATCCCCCCTTGTAGTCCTTACCCCCCCCCCCCCCGCAGTAGGGAGGCTGTTTGGGAGGGGTGGGCACGTGCTTATTAGCAAGGACGTTCTCGTGAAGCAAGGCAGGTCACGGACACACGAGTTGGGTGATTGTGGCCAGAACCACGCGGCCGATGCCTGTGTCTTCCCAATTGTTTGATGATTCACATACGGGCACACCGCACCAGATGATTCAGATTCACACGCACACACCGCACCAGATGATTGACACACGCACACCGCACCAGATGATTCACATTCACACGCACACACCGCACCAGCTGATTCACACACGCCGCACCAGTTGATTCACACACGCACACCGCACCAGATTATTCACACACGCACACCGCACCAGATGATTCACACACGCATACCGCACCAGATTATTCACACACGCACACCGCACCAGATGATTCACACACGCACACCGCCCCAGTTGATTCACACACACACGCGCACACCGCACGAGGTGTATGATGATGTCAGGCTGAGTAGAGCTCAGGCAAAGCTCGAGACCGTTCAAGACGCCGCCGCGTGTTCGAGCGGTGGCTCAGCCGTGGGCCGGGAATCGCCCGCGGCTGAGTGCGCTGAGCATAGCGCCACCGCTGTCCACACGCTCACGTTCACTCTCATCCATGGCATAACAACAATCGTCGTTATTCTCGTTCACGCTTACAAAGATCACCCAGCCTGCCCTACAGAGATCACCCGTCGACACACACACAAGGACGTCTGATGTCTACAACAGCCGGTGACCCGCGTTCGATACCCGGCCACGGCGCTCGCGAGTGGCCACTGACATCTGAGACTGTCCTGGGCCCCCACTCCATACCCCCCCTCCCCTTACCCACCCCTTCATCAAGCCGCACCGAGCGGTGTGGTGAAGTATGGTCAAACAACCCCTCCATCACGATCAAAACGGTGCGGTGAGGACGTCTCCGTCCAGCAGTGGATTGCGATGAGAGCTGCAATTGGTATGACAATACTATATTGTATTTGCCAGTCTGGGACAGCATAAGAGAGGGTGCGATGGCTTAAATTGGGGGGGAGAAAGGCAGAGACAGGGCACATTCACACACCCATTGCTGGACACACTCACATTTGACCGGGCCTGGAATTGAACCGGGTCACTGAGCTAGCAGGCTCCGTATGCGCTCGCTAAACACAAAGCTCCCCCATGTTGGCTTAACAGACTGCTGGGGCGGGCAAGTGCTGTTAGCGAGCGGCACCTCCTGAAGCCCGACACGTCACACGAGGGGGTGGGTGGCCAGCACCACTCCAGACGGCCATTGTCTCCCTAGTGGCGATGTTTACACATCGCACCAAGTACTCATTCGAGGCTGAGTCGACTTAGGAGAGGTCCAGGACCGGTTCAGATAATCGTCACTGGTGTTAGTGGCCGTGAGCGGGAATCGAACTCGCGTGGCAAGGGTTCGTAGCGCGAACCGCTGCCCATCGCTCCCCAAAGACAAACGCCACCGTATAGCCTCAATATTCGTTTGGGGGCAAGTGCTGTCAGCGGCACGGCACACGAGGGGGTGGGTGACCAGTACCCCGCCCGGCCGCCTTTGTTTCACACAAGGATCCGTGTAGGCTATTCGGGGAAAGAGTGGTTGTTGTTGTTCGATCCCGACCTGTACGCCTGCTGTATATTTGAAGTCTGCGTGTCTTTCTCTCATCATCATCACGGTGGCTATGAGATGTTAACTAACGACCCTGGCGCCTGCTGTTGCTGTATATTTGAAGTCTGCGTTGTCTCTCTCCATGTGGTCGCGTAGATTTCTCCCCGGGCTCTTCGGTTTTTCCCCTCCACATTTAGGAACTTGATTATTTTGCGTATGTGTCTGCTTTACAATTCCACGTGATAAGCCACTTCGTTGAGCTAGCATTTGTGGCCAGGTCGCTTCTGCAAAAAAAGCTTTGCGTGAAAAGAGTTTAGTTCCGTTTTAATTTAGTCCCTATGAAGGCCGCTAGTAGTTTGCGTGCGAGGCAGTTGAGAGGGGCCCTTTGCCTCCAAAGCGCTCCGTCGACGATGCCAACACCAACGATATGTCGCAGCGTCGCGCCAGACACGAATTTAGGCTGAGTCGACCTAGGTGGAGGACAGCCATATCAGGCTGAAGACAGCAGCTGCAGGCAAGAGGCTGCGTGTGTGCTTGGCGACTCGCTGGCTCACAAACTCCTCGCCAATAAACACAACGCTGCTTACTAACACACCACAGATAGTCCCCACCAATACACACACACACGCAGCATGCTCACGATACACAATCAGCTGCCGTGGATCGGAGTCCACCAGACATCAGGCGCTACGTGTCAACACTCGCCAGCCCCCCGGGGTGCTGCAGTCGAACTCAGGCATCCGCCGGCGTCCGGGGCTCGCTGCGCTCAAACGGCGCCTCTCCTTCGATAACTGTCCAAGCGCAATTTATTAACACAAAATTGTTGATGGCCGTTTCCATTCGGCAAGTGGAACATTTGTTTTTACCCTTCTGACATTTCGAGACTGGTCTAGCCGCATTCAAAAAGAGTCTGGTTCTGCACTGCACGAGGCAGGGAGGGAGAGAGACAGAGAGACAGAGAGAGAGCGGCTCTCACACTTGCTGTGGACGGACTGTGCCTCTGGGTCCGTGCCACAACACTCCAGCGACAGCAGTGACGCGCCGTGTGGCGAGTGGGTGGGTGGCTGGGTGAGCACGGCGTTACTGATCCACGTGTCCAGTGCGGAGATTTGGGGGTGATGAGAGTTATCGTCCATCCCTCTGCAGTGGATCCTACCATGTCGTGCTTCGGTGCCCTGTGCGTGTGCACGCGCGCGCAGCATCCACGTGTCCATCCATCCTGGGCTTGGCAGAAGGCGGCAGAGCTCAAATGCGGAGTCACCATCTGTCCCATCACGCGCGGTTTTCCAGTGCTGTTCCCTGGCACTCATGGGTGTTCTCCCGATGTCGTGCTTTCCCCCCACGAACTATTCTTGGGATGATCGGTAACTCCTGAATATATCGTGGACCGCAGAGCTTGGGCAATTGCTGGTAGCGTTGGCTCCGAGTGGGCGCCGTGGTCGCTATGAGATGTTTACTTCCTCGCCTGGTATACAGGAGGCCGTGGGTTCGATCCCGACCCTGACGACTGCTGTATATTTGAAGTCTGCGTGTCTCTCTCTCATCATCATCACGGTGGCTATGAGATGTTAACTTCCTCGCCTGGTATACAGGGGGCCGTGGGTCCGATCCAGACCCTGTACGTCTGCTGTATATTTGAAGTCTGCGTGTCTCTCTCTCATCATCATCACGGTGGCTATGAGATGTTAACACCTCGGCTGGTATGAAGGAGGTCGTGGGTTCGAACCCGACCCTGGCGCCTGCTGCTGTATATTTGAAGTCTGCGTGTCTCTCTCTCATCATCACGGTGGCTATGAGATGTTAACTAACGACCCTGGCGCCTGCTGCTGCTGTATATTTGAAGTCTGCGTTGTCTCTCTCCATGTGGTCGCGTAGATTTCTTCCCGGGCCCTTCGGGTTTTCTCCTCCACATTTAGGAACTTGAGTATTTTGAGTATTTGTCTGCGTTACAATTCCACGTGATAAGCCACTTCGTTGAGCTAGCATTTGTGGCAAGGTCGCTTCTGCAAAAAGCTTTGCGTGAAAAGAGTTTAGTTCCGTTTTAATTCACTTTCTCAACGCGTGGCAGCCACTGCTGCTGCCTTCCTGCTCCTCGTCTGAAGTTCCTCTTCCTGGTGCCTCTGAGTCGCCCTCTCTCTCCTCCCTCTCTCTGAGTCGTCCTCCCTCTCTCTGAGTCGTCCTCCCTCTCTCTGAGTCGTCCTCTTTCTCTCTAAGTCGTCCCCTCCTCTCTCTCTGAGTCGTCCTCTCTCTCTGAGTCGTCCTCTCTCTCTGAGTCGTCCTCTCACTCTGAGTCGTCCTCTCTCTGAGTCGTCCTCTCTCTCTCTGAGTCGTCCTCTCTCTCACTCTGAGTCGTCCTCTCTCTTTCTGAGTCGTCCTCTCTCTCTGAGTCGTCCTCTCTCTCTTTCTGAGTCGTCCTCTCTCTGAGTCGTCCTCTCTCTCTGAGTCGTCCTCTCTCTCTGAGTCGTCCCCCTCTCTCTCGGAGTCGTCCTCTCTCTCTGAGTCGTCGTTTCTCTTTCTCTGAGTCGTCCTCTCTCTCTCTGAGTCGTCCTCTCTCTCTGAGTCGTCCTCCCTCTCTCTGAGTCGTCCTCTCTCTCTGAGTCGTCCTCCCTCTCTCTGAGTCGTCCTCTCTCTCTGAGTCGTCCTCTCTCTCTCTGAATCGTCCTCTCTCTGCGAGTCCTCCTCTCTCTCTGAGTCGTCCTCTCTCTCTGAGTCATCCTCTCTCTCTCTCTGAGTCGTCCTCTCTCTGTGAGTCGTCGTCTCTCTCTCTGAGTCGTCTTCTCTCTCTGAGTCGTCCTCTCACTCTGAGTCGTCCTCTCTCTGAGTCGTCCTCTATCTCTCTCTGAGTCGTCCTCTCTCTCTCTGAGTCGTCCGCTCTCTTTCTGAGTCGTCCTCTCTCTCTGAGTCGTCTTCTCTCTCTTTCTGAGTCGTCCTCTCTCTGAGTCGTCCTCTCTCTCTGAGTCGTCCTCTCTCTCTGAGTCGTCCCACTCTCTCTCTGAGTCG